GTGGGATCACAACACTTCCATCCTTTCCTTTGATCGTCATAGCCCACGAATATGCAACAGACTGCCTTCTTATCAAACTTGCTACGTAGGTGATCAGGAACAAATACGTAGCATGCACAACCAAACACCCTGAAGTGACTTACTGTGGGCTTGATATTTTGTAATTTCTCGAATGGTGAAATGAATCCAAGCTTTGCTTGCGGCAACCTGTTAACCACATGGGCTACCGTTTTCATACACTCGGCCCAAAAACGTGGGGAGTACATTCTTCGAGTGCAGCATACTTCTTACAGTCTCCGCCAAGTGTCTATTCTTTCTCTCTGCAACCCCGTTTTGTTGAGGCATACTTGGGCATGAGAATTTTCTTCTTATTTTACACTATTTTAGAAATTCATTAACTTCTTCAGATGTGTATTCTCCCCCGTTATCTGTGCGTAGGCACTTGATATTGTGGTCTACTTCTGCCTCAACCTTTTATTTGAATACCTTGAACTTGTTTAAAGCTTCTGATTTTTCTTTCATAAAATCAACCCAGACAAATCTTGAAAAATCATCGATGAATGTAATCATGTACTTGAAGCCGCAAACTGAAGGTTGCTTTACCTTACCGAATACGTCTGAGTGTATTAGCTCTAGCGGCGCTTTGGCTCTGAACTTTGACTCCTCGTACGAAAGCTGATGAGCTTTTCCATATTGACACCCAGCGCAAACCACATCATCATGGATTTCTAGTTTGGGGAGACCCTTTAGCATTTCCTTCTTCATCATCACCTTTAATTTCTTGTAACTCACATGCCCAAGACATGCGTGCCACAAGTCAGGTGTCTCATTTTTCCGTGTCTTATCTACATATGTCGTTTGTGCAGACATTACATAGATAGACTCAACTCTTCGCCCCTCCATGATCGGTTCCTCATTGTCTTGTAGATGCCGATATACTTTAACATAGTCTGGGCCGAACACCACATATTTTCCAGATCTTGTGAGTTGTGACACCGATAGTAAATTCTTCTTCATACCTAGCACATGCATGACATCTTGAAGATCCACTTGCTCAGAATTGAATCGGGGAGTAATCTTTGTTTGGCCAACGTGAGTGATAGGCAGTTTTGAGTTGTTTGCAGTGACTACAACTCGTCGTCCTTCATACTTGTTGATGTTTTCTAATTTGCTCATGTCACCCGTCATGTGATTGGAGCACCCAGAATCTACTATCCAGTCATTTTCATAATTTATGAATCTATCACTCACCGTGACAAGAGCCGTTTCTTCTTCTCCCTCTTCTTCAATGATGCAAGAAGCTGCAAGTTCTTGATCATTGTCCACTGCATAGGCCACTTGAAAATCCCATTCTTCTTCACTATTGCTTTCCTTTAGAGTTGATGTTGCTGCATTTCCTTCAACTCTTTGAAGTCTGCAATCTCTAGCAAAATGACCTTTCTTCCCGCAATTGTAGCACTGGTCGTTGCTCCGTCTGTACTTCTTCTCTTCTTTATTTTTATCATGACGGGCTTGATTAGCTCCCCTCGATGAGAGCTCCCTTGTGGCCTCTTTCGCCAATCTTCATTATGTGGATTTGTATTTGTTGGTCTTGCGCTTCTTCTATCTCGTCCGAAACTCCTTTTATTGCTATATAAGGCGGTCTCATCCTCTTTGATTGAGACTTTAGATATTTGTTTATCTAAAGCCTCTTGGTTGGCTAATAGGCTCTCTAACTCCGTTAGAGTTGGCTCTTTTTCCCATCCACGGGTAGCGGTAATAATACCATTAAATTCCGGTCTTAACCCATGGATTATGATTCTTCTTTTTCTTGTATCGGTGATGGCATTTTGCGGTTCTAATTTTGATATTTCGTCACAAATTGCTTTGACTTTATTAAAATATTGACTCACCGACATATCTTGTTGAGAGACCGAGAGAAGATCATTTTCCAACCGTTGGAGCTTCGCATTATTCGTCCTAGCAAAAAGTGCCGCCAAAGTATCCCATGCCTCTTTCGGAGTTTTTGCATCTTTGATGTGCTGCAACAACTCGTCTTCAATTGTTACGGATAGAACATACATGGCCTTCCCCGCTTTTATCTTCCATTTCCTTAATTCCTCCGCATTTGTGGGTGGCGATGTGTTGTCATTACTAATGATGTCCCACAAATCATGTCCAAGCAAATAAAATTGCATACGAACACTCCAAGTGTTGTAGTTGGAATTGTTAAGTTTTTCGACGCCACTTACCGAATTACAGATATCCAAGTGACTTGAATATATGACGATCAATATTACAAGCAAGTTTGGTCCCAGACCAATCGACTTCACAATCCCAGATTGTGCGCTAATAGTACCTCTGCGTTGCATTAACTCTTCATGGACAATCGCCCCCGATCACAGGCTCTGATACCACTTGTTGAGATTTGGAGGAATAAAAGACAATTTTATTAATGTAAAATATTGAGTACAAAGGTGGAGAGTCTCTCTTACTCTCACTCTTGAGGATACTTCACTCTCTTGGTGGTGATGGAGTTGTGTCCATCCACCTCTATTTATACTAGCTAGCCTAAAGAGGTGAGAGTGTTTCTAGAACCTTCCACATTAATTACATTCTAGATTATTCTCACATCTATTACATTCTAGAGTATTTCTATCTAACTCTCATTCAATACTCTATCTAGAGAATTCTACACTTCCTAGAATTTATAGAAGATTCTAGAGAACTTAATAAAGAAGATTCTAGAAGATTATAGAGAGTCGTTGACTTTTCAACAGAACATGCATTTTTTTGTATTTTGGATTACAGAACCATTAGATATACTTCCCCACCCAGCCTCCTCTCTTTCAACTGAAATCTTTAACTGTCGGATAAAAAACAGATCAAAAACAGATCTTCTATTAGGCAATATATGTGGCAAGTTGCTAGAACAAAAACCGTAAATGTAACTATGCAAGAACCATTATGAAAAGCCTAAATGAAAAAAAATGATTACAATAGAACCGATTAATATTTTATACGGAGTAACTCTCTCAACTTCATATCCAGTGTTTCTTAAATGTGCTGCATACAAATTAAGACAACCCATTGGATATCCTACAATTTTGCAAATGAATAGATCTATACCTAGAACTATCCAGCTATCCATGATAAATCATCCTGGAATATCCATATATTAGAACTTAAGTAGATGCTTTAATAGGGAATTATGATGACGAAGAACGGATAAGTGTAATAACTACTCCGTGTTAAATGCACTCTTGCTAAATGCTTTATCAAACAAAGGTAAACCAAACGATAATTCATATCTAATATGAATCCTGCTGCTGGTAATATCAAATAAACAGCATTAAAATTTTCTAGATACAAAAAAAGTCATATACGTAGTACACTATATTTCAAAATACATTTGCATACAACTGCAAAAAACATATCATAAAAGGAACAAAATATCCTAAGCCCAGGTACTACTGCAGCTGAAATAGCCAGAATTAAAAAAAAAATATGAAGCTCAATTGGCCTCCAGGTTTCCAATCGAATTCGAATTTTCTGCAAGGTAAAGTGAAGATGCCATTTAATTTGAGAGCTTGCCTTGAACTCGTCTACAGAACACGACCCGACTGAAGAATTGGGAGATTCCGTGATGGCTGGGTGCAACTCCTACCAGTGACTCCCTGTTTGGTGAAGCTGGTGCGATGCCTTTGGGAAACGAATCAAGCAACGACCTGTGGAGTGTTGGAGAAGCTGTGTGATACTTTGGGGAAGCTTGCGTGCGACTTTAATAGGAGAGGGATGTGAGTAGACAGTATTCAACTTGCAGGGACTTGGCGAGGAAGTAAAAACAGGCTTACCTTGAACTCACAGGAAGGAAGAGTGCGGTGAAGGGGTGAAGAAGGTAGAGCGCAGCAAAGGGGGAAGGTAAGCGGAGGCAGGCGAGAGAGCGAGTAAATAAGTACGTACTGTACCTCCGTGTTTTCTAATTTGTGAAAACGTCTAAATGTCGTTTTTCAATCTCAAGAGCAAAAGTAGAATGTCTCGGTTTTTCTCTTTTAGAAAACGGGCGGCTAAACAGGTTTTCCAATTTTTCTATCTCCAGTTTTCCAAATTTTTGGAAAACAGAAAATATTTCTGTTACTAAACAGACTCTTACCATTTCTGATTTGAAAAGTCAAAAATGTCTAATTAAATTGGGGTGAGGTAGTATTAGGTAATATTGACCATAATAATTTCATCATATCACTTCAATTAATAATCCTTTATAGGAAATAATGCTGAGAATAACTTCATATCTTCCTTTAAAGTTTAAGGGGTTGTTTGGTTAATGGCCTATCAGCCATTTTTTGGCTTATTTGATCAATATTGGCCTTTTGACCTAATCAATCGGCTAATATTTGCGTTTGGTAAAATAGCTTTTTAAGTTGGCCTTTTGACATAGTGTAATTCTATGCTTTTATGGTTCTTATCATAGCCATTCTAAACGATGGAACCATCATGACAATCTCAAAGGATAGAGTAAAACTGTCACCATTACCAGATAGTTGGAAATTGAAGGAGATTTTTTTCACTGGTGTTGTTCTTGGAAGTTATTTGGCATTGATGATAGTGGTCTTCTTCTGGATTATGCATGATACCGACTTTTTCTTTGATAAATTTGGAGTGAGGTCGCTGAGGAATAGCAATGAGGAAATGATGGCAGCACTATACCTACAAGTCAGTATAGTGAGCCAAGCTCTCATCTTTGTCACCAGATCCCGAAGCTGGTCTTTTATTGAACACCCAGGACTTTTGTTACTTATTGTTTTTTTTATCACCCAACTGGTTACAACCTTGATAGCTGTGTACGCGAACGGGGGATTCATGAGGATCAAAGGGTGTTGTTTCAAGTGGGATATAGAAAACAATGTTGTAAAGCCACACCACACCCGCCCATCCCCAACCACACCCTTTGATCCTCACGAATCCCTAGTTCACGTACACAACTATGAAGGTTGCAACCAGTTGGGCATTAAAAAAGCAGTAAGTAACAGAAGTCATGGGCGTTCAATAAAAGACCGGCTTTGGGATCTGGTGACAAAGATGAGAGCTTGGCTCACTATACTGACTTGTAGGTATAGTGCTGCCATCATTTCCTCATCGCTATTCCTCAGCGACCTCACTCCAAATTTATCAGAGAAAAAGTCGGTGTCATGCATAATCCAGAAGAAGACCGCTGTCATCAATGCCAAATAACTTCCAAGAACAACACTAGTGGAAAAAATCTCCTTCAATTTCCAACTATCTGGTAATGGTGATGGTTTTACTCTATCCTTTGAGATTGTCATGATGGTTCCATCGTTTAGAATGGCTATGATAAGAACCATAAAAGCAGAGAAGTCATACTTCCATATCAAAGCAATAAACATGAAACCGAACACAATACGTATTGTGATGGAAACTGCATAGATAGTGTGTAGTTCTTCATCCTCTAGAAAATGGCTCTACTAGTTAAGACAACAATGTTAATAACACTTAGCCCTGGATCATAAGCTCAATATCAGATGTGCCTCTTGCAGCATCAATAGAATCAGCAACCGCATGTGATTCCAATATCAACCTTCTTTAAAGTCGGAGCATCATTTACACCATCTCTTGTCATTCCAACAACGTGCTTCCTCTCTTGCAATTTCTTCACGATTTCATATTTGTGTTCTGCAAACACTTCAGCAAAACCATCAACTTTTTCAATAAGTTCCTCCACCGGAAGAGCAGTAATAGATGCATCTTAATTATGTTGGCCAAGTAAAGAAGCAGATGGGTACATGTTTGTTCCCATGCATTCCAAGTTTACAACCGGTCTCCTTGTCGATTGCAAGTTGATCACCAGTGATCATTTTAACATTAACGCCAAGATTCAAGGCCCTGCGAATGGTTTCAGCGCTATCATGACGAGGAGGATCAAAGAGGGGCAACAATCCAACAAATTGCCAAGGGGTTCCCACACTGTCTTTTGTTTTCTCTGGCACTTCCTGTATAGCTAGCCACAGCCAACGACCTAAGCCCACGTTCAGCGTACTTATCAATCACGGAATGAACCTTTCGCTCAGGGGCAGAGCTAGGGGGTGCCCAGGCTAGGCCCTGGCCCACCCTAAATTTGAAAAATGTCAATATTTTTAGTGTAAAAAATTTCGTGTAATTGTTTTTCCAATAATATTCTTTGTACCGGCCCAGTCTAGCCCAGTGTCCTGGCTACGCCCCTGCTTTCGCTTGAGGTCCTCGGGAGCATTGCAGCGTTCCAAAATCTGTTTTGGGGCAGCTTTACTCACACGGTGCCAATTGCCATTAGAATCAATGTATGTTAGGGCAGTCCTCTTCTCCCCGGGATTGAAGGACAGGAAATGGATTTCAAGAATACCAGCTTGTGCCTCCTTAGGATTAGCAAGCATGCTAGCCTTTTAATTTGTATTGGTACACCACAAGCTAACTTTAGCTAGTTGGCACTCAATATACAGGGAGTGCATGTGGAGAAGCTAGGCAGCAGAGCCTCTAGGCCCACTAATTTCCTAAGTCGAGATAAAAGTTGTTATATACGTATTACGTAGTATGCACTTTGCAATTTTATCAATGCCGTTTAATTTAATGAATTGTACGTACATACCCATTTGGGAGTTTGTTTTTCCCAACGCGTTTCTTTTTTTTTTTGAAAAAATGCCAAAAATTATATTAATAAATCGTGCGCCAATCGGCTTACAATAAATGAAGGTGGACTAGAAAAGCTAGAAACACAATCAGACTTAGAAACAGCAACTCTTGCGATAGCATGAGCTACTTGATTCGCTGATCTTCCACACCACTTGATTTTTAGATTAACATTATCACTCAAAAGAGATTTTATATCATCAAAAATCAGACCAACTTGAGATGCATCTCGATCCCCTTCAATCCCCGACACCACTAATGCTGCATCTGTTTCAACAGTTACATGACCCCACCCGTTATCTCTCGCCCAAAAAATAGCCTCTCGGACACCCAGAGCTTCTGCTTCCACCGGAGACCATGAAGTTGTAGCACACCTGCTGCGAGCTTTAATAAAATTGCCTTCATTGTCTCTACATACCCATCCCCAAGCCCAACGCCTAAACCTGGAATCATTGGCTGCATCAACATTAATTTTAACACAATTAATCTCAGGTTTCTTCCATTTGGATATGGTCGGATTCACCCTCATTGCTTGATTGTCATCTTTCCGGGCTGCTCTCCAGCTTGTTAGCATGGATTCTGCCACTCGGTACACAACTCCTGGAGAAAACGCTTCTGCCTTCCACACAGCTGCGTTCCTAGCTTTTCAGACACTCCACATAAGCATGATAAGCCTGGAGAGATCCTCCACCCCTAACTTGTTAAACACGAACTGAAGCCATTCCTCAAATGAAAGTTCCCTCAACGAATCTGCCAGACTTGCCTTCTGCCAAGTCTCCCGCACTGCCGCACACTCTAAAAACAAATGAGTTGCTGTTTCATTCTCCAACTTGCAGACGGGACAAACTCCCAATACCTGCACCTGTCTAGCTCTCATAACATCGCCTGTAGGTAGCAAACCGTTAGCAAGCTGCCAAAAAAATAATTTCACTTTAGGTGGAATGCGAAATTTCCAAGCTACGGTCCACCCGATCCATTTTGTTGCCTGAAACTCGCCCACAAGTCTCCTGTAGCAGCTACGGACCGAAAAATTTCCTTTGGCCTCATCATTCCAACGGTACCCATCATCAACCTGATTAATACTTAAATGAATGCTCTGAATTGCACGAGCTTCCTCCTCAGAAAATATACTATTAATACGCTGCACATTCCAGTTTTTTTCATCTTCTAAAAGCAGAGACGCAACATTCATATCTAGAATACCTCTTGGTCGGGCTGAAAGAATTTTGCCCGTGCCCTTCCCCGGAAGCCAAGCATCCCTCCACACTGATATTTCCTTACCGTTCCCAACCCGGCGTCGGGAACCTGCTACCACAACTTCTTGGGCTGCTAAGATGCTACGCCAAACAAATGAAGGATTATATCCTAATTTAGCTTCAACAAAGCTATTCTTAGGATAATACTTGGCCGCGAGGACCCGACTAATCAAAGCTTTTGGCTCCGTTAAAAGTTTCCACCCCAGTTTTCCTAACATAGCGATATTGTATTCCTTTAGCCTCTTAAAACCAAGCCCTCCACAAGTTTTTGGGAGACACAATGCCCTCCAATTCCTCCACCGAATGCCCCTACCTGTTAAATCATTTCCCCTCCACCAATACCCGTTCATGAGTCTCTCAATCTCCATGATCAAATTATCAGGGAATAAAAACACATTCATAGCATACGTAGGCATGGCTTGGATAACCGTTTTCAATAGGACTTCTCTCCCAGCTTTTGAGAGGAAGCGGTTATTCCAACTCTGTAACCGTTTCAACACCCTCTCTTTTAAGTAGAGTAATATTTCTCTCTTTTTCCTCCCTACTAGAGCAGGCAGACCCAAATACTTACTCCTAACCACCTCTTGATTTACTCCCAATAGTAAACACAGCTCATCCCTCATTTCGGCCACAACATTAGAACTAAACGAGACACTAGATTTGTCAAAATTTATAATCTGACCTGAAAGTATTTCATATGTTTTCAGTATATCTTTAACTACCTGACATTCTTCGCGGTTTGCCCTGAAAAATAAATAGCTATCATCAGCAAATAATAAGTGAGATACTTTAGGGGCCTTTTTTGCCACTGCCACTCCACAGAATCTGCCCTCTGCTTCTTGCTTTCGGATAAGAGCACTCAGACCTTCAGTCACTAATATAAACAAGTAGGGTGATAGAGGATCGCCTTGTCTCAATCCCCGTTGTGGCATAATTGGACCAATAACAGAACTATCAAACGGTATAGAATACGACACCGTGGATACACATTCTAGGATCAAATCAACCCATCTTAAATCAAAACCCAGCTCCACCATAACTGTCCTCAAAAAACTCCATTCCACTCTATCATAGGCTTTACTCATGTCCAGCTTTAATGCCACAAAACCTTCCTTACCTTGTCTTTTGCATTTTAGATAATGATGAGTCTCAAAAGCAATAACAACATTATCAATAATATTCCTCCCTGGAGCAAAAGCACTCTGGTTTTCGCAAATAATATCATTTAAGATCCCCTTCATTCTGTTAGCCAACACCTTTGAAAAAATCTTATACACTACATTGCATAAAGCAATCGGCCTCCAATCCCCCATGCTTTCCGGTTTAGTTTTTTTGGGAACTAAAACTAAATTAGTTTGGTTTACTGCCAAAGGGATTTGCCCATGCTCAAAACAATTAACACAAAAATCAACTACATCATTACCCACTATATTCCAATAATTCTGAAAAAACCCAGAATTCATGCCATCCGGGCCCGGAGACTTGTCAGGATGCATGCCGAAAGTTGCTTTCCTAACTTCCTCAACTGTAATTGGCCGTAATAGAGCCCGATTTTGAGCTTCAGACACTCGAGCAGCCCCACTCATATCTACCATAGGATTGGTAGATAAACTTGTTGAAAAGAGGATGTCAAAGTATCCCTGCACCATCTGCTTCATACTCTCCCTGTCAGTTATCCAAGCCCCTTGCAAATCTCTCAAGCCCCTGATTTTATTTATTCTTCTCCTATGTCTTACTGCGTTGTGGAAAAATCTTGTGTTTGTATCGCCATCACGCAACCAAAACTCCTTTGCCCTTTGTTTCCAAAAAATAATTTGTTGTTCAAGAAGCCCAACTAATGTATTTTTCACCCTCTGAAACTCAACATCATAGCATAATCCACGTCTACCTCGTAGCTCTTTTAGCCTTCGACGACACGTATTAATACGGCTAGAAAAGCCTAAGCACCGAGTGCTTCCCCACCGTCCCAAGTCCTCACTGCAGCGGCCTATTTTCTGCCAAATGGCTCCTCCCAAGTTCAAATCCCAGCTCCGTTTTATAATCTCCCGACATTCTTCTTCCCGCACCCAGACATTTTCAAATTTAAAAGGTCGTTTGAACCGCTCCTGATGGACCTCTATGGGTTTGACAATTAACATCAAATGATCACTAGTAACTCCTTCCAAAGAAAAAGCTCTAGCATTCCCAAACCGCAAATGCCACTCTTCATTGACAAGAATCCGATCAAGTTTCTCTTCTACTAAGTTTGAACTTCCCCTTCCTCTCTCCCATGTCCATTGATACCCATCAAAAGGAAAGTCCCGCAGACCACTTGCCCATATAGCCTCTCGGAATCCACGCATCTGCCATAGCGGTTGTGGAAGACCTCCCCTCTTTTCGCTAGCAAACATTATATCGTTGAAATCCCCTATCACCATCCATGGAAGATCACTTCGGTGCGCAAGGTCCTTTAGCATCTCCCATGATTCTTTTCTCCTGCCCCTGTCTGGAATGCCATAAAATCCCGTGAGTCTCCAATAATCATCTCCCTCATGTATACGAATGGAGCAGTCAATGTAAAATTGGTTTGAATCCAAAATATTGATCGACACCTCATCTCTCCAATAAAGGGCCAGTCCCCCACTTCTACCAGCACTCTCAATCACCTGTCCCTTACGGAAACCCAGTCCACAAAAAACCTCATTCACTCGGCGGTATCCAGCTTTGGTCTCAAGCAGAAAGATAACAATTGGTTTTTGCTCCCTTACTAGATCACTCAGCACTTGTACCGTAGCCAAATTGCCAAGCCCTCTACAATTCCAGCTCACAATGCTCATCTTCTTTTCTCCACACAGTGCAAATAACCTCTACAATTCCAACAAAACTCCAACCGGACAGCCCAATCGGTTGATTGACGCCGGAAACAACAAAACCTCTGCGATTGCCGCCGCAAGGTACCGGACAGCCTAATCGGTTGATTGACGCCGGAAATAACAAAACCTACGCGACTGCCGCCGCTAGGTACCAGACCGCCGGACAGCCCAATCGGATGATTGGCGCCGGAAATAACAAAAACCTACGCGACTGCCGCCGCTAGGTACCAGACCGCCGGACAGCCCAATCGGATGATTGACGCCGGAAATAACAAAACCTACGCGACTGCCGCCGCTAGGTACCAGACCGCTCCTAAACTCTTTATTCGTTTATAACATGTACGTATGTAAGATATGATTCAAAATGGGTATATATGGAATTTAGAATTTGAAGTAGAAATGAAGGTTGAAGCTTTCTCTCTTTTGAAAGCTTGTAAAATCCGAAATTATATAGAGTTATTTACTATATCTAGTATTAATGTCTAGGTGATATTTTTGACGAATTCCCAAACTCACGGGGTTTTTGAAACCCCAATGCAAAAACTAATCCTAATGGCCAATACGCATCGGTGGACGTAGAGCTCAACTGGTAGCGAGGGAGTACTACAAGGGTTAGGTCCCGGGTTTGACTCCCGGCAACTGCGATGAAAGGTTACTCAATAGCTAGAGGGGCTCTGCAAGTACCGGGGACGGAGCTCCACTCTCTATCTGTCAGATTGTGATTATAGTCCAATTTACATCCTCTCATTGTGCCGTTCGGTCGGTGATGGGGGCCCCTTAGGGATGAGGTGTCATCCTTTTTTTCCATAATGGCCAATACGTCCATAAAAAGTATGAGGTGGGACAAGAGTGTTTTTTTTTGCTTTAATTTAAATATTGGTATATTTTGTTATTTGTAATGTACTTTTTACAAAAAATATCTAATTAAATAATTTTTCATAATCTTTTGTTTGACACCAATATTATACAGAGTATACGTATTTAAACATAAAATTATTCAATAAATATATTAACGGTTGCTAGGTTGTATGATAAAAAACGTACGTATATACAGGATCAATACAATGTTTTCATATAAATCAAATATTCTCTTTGTCCCTGAAATAAGTTCCCTCTTTCCATTTTAGCAGTCCCTGAATTAAGTTTCTCTTTCCTTATTTGTCAAATTATCTACATCAAAACAATGTCAAACAATACCAAACAGTGTTAAAACAATACTCCATAAAATTTACCCCACTAAATTTATTTTCTTAATATGTGCGAAAAACAATGGGGAGCTTCTTTTAGGGACGGAGGTAGTATTTATTGTAGGACTTTGTATTCACTCTACCAATTAAGGGGTGGTTTGTAAATGCTAAAAAAAGCACTTCTCAACTTTTGGCTTTAAAAAACTCTTATTTTACCAAATACTATCATCTTTTATTTTTATCGGCTTTCGTGTCAAAAGTGCTTCTACTTTTTCTATTACACAAAAAGCACTTATTTTACCAAACACTACCAACTTTTACTTTTCAAAATCACTTTTTTCTCAAACACTATGAACTTTTATTTAATCACTTCTCCCCATTACATTTTTTAAAAATAGACCTTAAGTTTTCCGTCCAACCTTCTAATTACGCGTTTCCTCCGTCAATCAGTTATGTTTTATTGACTATCATCATTCTAATATTAGTGTGTAGATTTTGTGATAAGCCTATCATCATGTCCTTTATGGAGTTTTTTTCCGAATTAATGTTAAATTAAAAATTATTTATGAAATTAAAGTTGGATTAAAAGTATTTATCAATATACTGTTGGATCTAATCATAGTAGAACAAAGTCGCCAAACCGTTTGGCGACTTCAAAGTCGCCAAATGGTTTGGCGACTCTGGCATTGAATTGCCGAACACGGAGGATGAAACTTAGCTGCTTAGGCAAGGAAAATAGGAAATCATACGTACGTAGTATAAATAAGTGTGGGCCCCATTAGATATAAAACCCATTTTTTTCTTTAACAGCCCATAACTTTTTCGTTTTTGTTCCACTTTTTATAAAAAAAAAACCAAAATTCATTATTTTTTATTATCTTTCATTTAACACTAATATTGGATATATAAACTTTTAAAAAAATTGAAGGCTTATTAAACAATATTCTTATTTTCCAATGGAAAAATTGATAGTAATAATCTCAACTATTGATGGTCCGCCCATAATAATCCCAACTATCGATTATTTCAGAATAATCCCAACTTTAGGGACCTTCCGCCAATAATGGTCACTATAAATAAATTTTCGTAGCTTCTAAGGTGAATGAGAAGAGATATAACAAGTAATCCCTATAAATAATCCCAACTTTTAATTTTACGCCTAATTTCTATTTAAAATTCACTTTTTATAGGAGGTAATATCTGTTCATGGATCATTATTGGCGAATGGTCCATATAGTTGGGATTATTATCAGCGGACCAGCAATAGTTGGGATTATTATTTTCAATCTCCGTACGGATGATTTTAAAAAAAAATTTACACATATATGACTAAAGTAAAGATTGTTTAAAAAATTGTGACTAAGATAGTAATGAAATTATAGCAATCTATGTTCTATTATTTTAAAATTTAAGTTAGCATGACACGAAATTGTAGTAAGTATTAGTCATATTTGTGTAAATAAACTTTATTTTATTTAATTTTAGCAAAATAAAACTCTTATTTAATATTCTATAAACAAATAATTCCTAAAAAGACAATGTCTTTTTAGACAGAAAACTCTTATACACAATGTTATTTTAGACAGAAGTTGCCTAATAAGCCTGATAAGTCGAAATGCATGATCTAAGCCTGATATATATATACATATGTGTGTGTGTGTGTGTGTGTATATATATATATATATATATATATATATACACACACACACATATATGTATATATAGGGAGGTTCAAATAAAAAGTACTCCTCATATGAAAAGTGAGAAGTAATCTTAGCCGTTAAGATGAGAAAATGAGTGGATGAGATCAATTTTTAAGTGTAAAATTCGGTGCCAAAAGTGTAATTATCAAAAAGTTTTTTAAAAAATAGCGTGGCAAATGTGCATGACTACGGAGAAAAAGTGCATTAGACTAACACAAAAGTGCATCACGTTTTAGGAAAAAAATAAGAAGTATAACTATTGTTTCTGATATTTTTTTAGTAGCTGAATGTGCACCATTACATATTGCATATGCACTTTTGCTATTGTGTATTACACATTTTGGTTAACCGTGACTTTTGATCTATACCATCCATTTTTAAGTAATCAAGGGCTTAGATCACTTCTCACTTTTCATGGGAAGACCTCTTTGTATTAGAACTCACCCCTATATATATGTATGTATGTATGTATATATATATATATATATATATGTATGTATACACACACACACTCAAGGGGGGTCTGAGGGAGGGGGGCTGGGGGGGAGCCTGGAGTAAATAGGGTTTCGAACTCGAGACCTTCCATTGGACACGAACGGCACGGTAACTTCACAACCAGCTGATCTGGAATGCTTGGTTTTAGTTATGAATATACTTTCACGGCCACACTAATATACTACTTACAATTCAAGCATAATTATAGCCTCTAAAAATTATCAAGTCCCGGCTTCATTCCCTATATTTACTTTCGTCATATAATAGGAATTAATTGTTTATATAATATTAAATAAGAGTTGTTTTTCAAAAATATTAATAAAATAAAGTTTATTTACACAAATATGACTAATAGTTACTACAATTTAATGTCATGCTAACTTAAATTTTAAAACAGAACATAGATTGCTATAATTTCATTACTATCCTAGTCACAATTTTTTAAACAATCTTTATTTTAGTCATATATGTGTAATATTTTTTTTGAAATCATTCGTACGGAGATTGGAAAATAAGAATATTGTTTAATAAGACTTCAATTTTTAAAAAATTTTATATATCCAATATTAGTGTCAAATGAAAGATAATAAAAAATCATGAAATTTGGTATATTTTTTATACAAAGTGGAGCAAAAACCAAAAACTTATGGACTGTTAAAGAAAAAAGTGGTTTTTATATCCAATGGGGCCCACACTTATTTATTCTACGTATGATTTCCTTGCTTAAGAGCTTCATCCACCCGATTTGTAATTCGATGCAAGAGTCGCCAAAACGTTTGGCGACTTTGTCCTACCATGATTAGATCCGGCAGTATATTGGTAAATACTTTTAACCCGACATTAATTTTGTAAATTTTTTTTTATTTAACATTAATTGAGAAAAAAACTCTCCCTTATGTGGGGACGTGGGGTATTGACTTAGCATAAAGTGTAGATTATCTATCCAATACGATTTCTAGAAGGTCAACAAATGACTTGGCGATAATCAATCCGTACATGTCTTGGCCGAGGCGGTAAACTTACCGAGAAGTAATGAAAATCCACACAATAAATGGATCAAACAGGAAATCAGGAATGGATACTCAAAATGATCGATTTTGGAAACCAATGTGCGATCCCATTATAATGTATGAATTACTGAGTAAAAATCCACACAAAAAGTATGAAACAGGATGAAAATCCACACAAGGAGTATGAATTACTGAGTAAAAATACATACCTTTCCCGTATCCGATACTCTAGGATACCCGTACCGTACGTTCCCGGGCCTTATCTGCAATTTTTAAAAGTTTCCATTTTTTTTTGTAATTTTTTGAAAGTTTCCAATACTCGTATCCTGACGGATACCTGTATCAACTTTAAAAAAATCCCAAAATTTACTTAATAAAATTCTAAAAAAAATGAAAATCTAAAACTACATTTTACTTGGTAATCAAATAATAGGCCTATATGGCTATATCCGAATTAAGTCATTAACTCATACTCCGAATTGGATACTTGCACTTTTAATTTCAAGATTGTAGTTGTTTGACTTATTTCTCATTTTAAATTAATGACTTATTGACTATATTTATATTTTGAGATGACTAGTGTATATGAGAAATATTATGAATTTATTACTAAGTATCTTGAAAAAGGAAAATGCTTCAATGTAATGAATGGGTAGACATCATAAGATATTATATGTGTGTGTATATATATATATATATATATATTAAAAAAAAATCTATTTTTAATATTTATAAATAGACCCCTATAACTTTTATTATTTGTAAATACACCCCCATAACTTTTAATATTTATAAATATGGCCCCGTATCCGTATCCTACTTTTTTTTGTTTTGACGTATCCCCGTACCTGTTTCCGCGTTTTCGCGTACCGGTATCGGTGTTACATAGACCTTTGCCTTTCAAAAAAAATACATGTGCGATCCCATTATAATGTCTGCCTCAACTCCAGCAAGCTCATACGTTTTCTTGCTCATCCCTAGCACGTACGATCCCAGTCCACCTAAAAATA